ATAGAAGTATCAGTAGCAATATCAGTATCAGTAGCAGTGGCATTATCAATAGAAGCAGATAGAAGTATCAGTATCAGTATCAGTAGCATTATCAATAGAAGCAGATAGAAGTATCAGTAGCAATATCACTATCAGTAGCAGTGGCATTATTAATAGAAGCAGATAGAAGTATCAGTATCAGTATCAGTAGCATTATCAATAGAGGCAGATAGAAGTATCAGTAGCAATATCAGTATCAGTAGCAGTGGCATTATCAATAGAAGCAGATAGAAGTATCAGTAGCAGTATCAGTATCAGTAGCAGTGGCATTATCAAAAGAAGCTGATAGAAGTATCAGTAGCAGTATCAGTAGCAGTATCAGTATCAGTAGCAGTATCAGTAGCAGTATCAGTAGTAGTATCAGTAGCAGTAGCAGTATCATTATCAGTATCAGTAGCAGTTTCAGTAGCAGTATCAGTAGCAGCTGACAGAAGTATCAGTAGTAGTATCAGTATCAGTATCAGTAGCAGTATCAGTAGCAGTAGCAGTATCAGTAGCAGCTGACAAAAGTATCAGTAGCAGTATCAGTATCAGTAGCAGTATCAGTAGCAGTATCAGTTACAGTAGCAGTAGCAGCTGACAGCAGTAGCAGTATCAGTATCAGTATCAGTATCAGTATCAGTATCAGTATCAGTATCAGTATCAGTATCAGTAGTATCAATAGAAGCTGACAGAAGTATCAGTATCAGTAGCAGTATCAGTAGCAATATCAGAATCAGTAGCACCTTTAGCATGTCAGTATCAGTAGCATTAGGTAGTTTTCGCCGCACGACGTTAACCTTAACTTTAACGTTAGTACCCAACATGCAGTGCGATAGCTCCGCCCCTTTTGTAAACAAATTGAAATACGCACGCGCAAACCCGTAACTAACGTATGTCGAGCACATAAAATCCAGAAATTAACATACTTCGCATCGCAAGATGAATAAATTATGACGTCATCCGTTAACGTTAAGGTTAACATCAAGCGGCAAAAACTGTCGATTATCATTAGAAGTATTAGTAGCAGTATCTGAAGCAGTATTAGTAACACCTTTACATTTACCATATATCAGTAGCAATATCAGTTCCAGTGTCAGTAGCACCATGACATACCATATAGCAGGTTTGCAGTATGAGTATCAGTAGCAATAGCATTTATAAAGTAGCAGTATCATTATCAGTAGCAATATTATCAATAGAATTATCAGTTCAGTAGCAATATTCGTAGAAGTGGTAGGTATCGCTTAGTAGCAGTAGAAATAGCATAACAGTAGCGTAATTAAAGTAGCAGAAGCAATAGCACAGCAGTTTGTAGCAGCAACAGTAGTATAGAGCTACAGACTGGCAAATAAAATGCTCATTCTAACATCAGGGTCCTAGGTTTAAATACAGACAAAAACCAGAAATCCTAACAAATAAAAACAGGTTAACTATAATCGACCTAGTTGACCTCATTATGTCGACCTCACTATTAAACTTAGTTAATATGGCATACAAAGACCCTGTGGGTGACTATATCTTCCTACTGAACATACTGTAACTCAGTTTATATAAGAATAAATATTAAATAAATAAATAAATTTTCAGAAGAGTGCGAGTGTAACGAACTGCAGGCAATGTATAAGTTCATGTTGCCAATCAAAACTACTTCAGTGATGGTTGCCTGTCGTTAAGTACTTATTCCCAACAGCAAAATTGCAGAATTACCAATTTTATTACAGTATAATGTATTAAATACATGACTAATGGAGAGACATATGGGCATAAGAATTCAGGGTAAAACTAGAGCTAGCTGTCGCAGTAAAATCGCAGAATGTCATTCAGCGAGGCAGTGAGGTAAAACCGCAAGATGAATGGATTGCATCAAACATGACAGAACTTAAAGCCTTATTTCCGGCAAAATTTCAATAAAAAATGAATTTTCTTTTTAGAAAAAATGCATGTGCATTAATCTAATTATTATAAATCATGGAAAAATATTGGCATAAATTTCAGTTTTACAAAAAAGAATAAAATAAAATGAGAAATACAGACTATTTGTCATAGGAGATTATCCATTTTCTCGACAAATTCTTCGTTACTAGGCAAATTCAGAGGTTGTAAATCGCATCTGCTGAAATGCTCTTGTATACTTTATACAGTCAATAAAGTGTGCCTTCTCTAATGAGATTAGTTTTTGTACTTCGCACCTCGCACACTGCGATCGATCGAGTAGGCCTGAGATGTTTGTTTGACTGTCAACATGTCGGTCACAATCATTTTTTAACAGATTTGAAATAATTCCTTTGAAATATTGTATTTCACAAGTGCCAAATACTAGTAACATAAAACATCATGTCGGCCGCTTTTATGTCAGATAACAGATAAGTTAAGGTAAGGCTAGTGTTGTATAGGCAGATGTTTCTGGCGCCTACTACTACATTTCTTCGCAGACCTATCGCAAAATCAAACATAAAAAATACATCCAAGTTTGTTTTTTTTTTTTTCAAATTTCAGTCTTTTTTTACAATTTTTTTTTATGTTTAGGAATCTCTAAATTCAGTCAAACTAGCAATTTCGTACAATATTTGTATCTTTACAACATAAAAATCAGATTTTTCCTAAAAAAAATGAAATTTTGTCGGGAATTGGGCTTTAAGCTCTTTCCTGACTATAAAATGTTCTTCGACAAAAAAAAAAAACTGTTGTATGCCCATATATAGTCATGATGTGCCTATATATGGTCATGTGATGTCATCATGACCATATTTAGTTAAATTTTGAGTGTCTGGATAGGGTTTAAAAAGGAAATTGTAATTTTTAATAATGAAAATTGATATATGTGAATATGGAAATTAAGATGAGAAGTGCTATGTGATATGGTGTGCTCTGGTTGGACAGTTTAGGGGTGTTACCATTAACGATAAATAGTCTGCCAATTCAAGGAGGTAAAAAAATATATACCTCCTTGGTCAACTGACAGAACTTAAGCTTTTTCTAGATTATCAAATTGTTTTTGACAAATACTAAAAAAAAACTGTTGTATGCACATATATAGTTATGATGTGCCTATATATGGTCATGTGATGTCATCATAGCAATATTTTATTATGTGTTTATTTATGTGTTTGTCAAATTAATTTTGACAGCCTGGACAGGGGCTTATTGTTAAAAAAAAAAAATTGTAATTTTTAATGGAAATTGATATATGTGAATATTGATAATAAGTAGAGAAGTGTTTGTGTGATATGATGGTCTGGTTGGACAGTTCAGAGGCATTCTTCCTAAGGATATTATAGTCTGTTTATCCAGAAAGTAATTTAGTCTCGTAATTTAGGTTGTTGTGGCATTGAACGCTTTTCTGCACAATGGAGCACAGTGATTAAGGGGGTGGCAGAGGTTCCACTTTGTGCTGTTTTTCAATTATGGAACCAATGGCCAGGGGTAATGATAACATATGCTCCTTTTATCCTTCAGCAAAACAGGCTTAAATAAATTCCTGTATTATTTATATCACTATGATGCAACAACTTAAATGTCCTAATCACCCACATTCCATTAGGTAAATTTTATACTTAGGCCAAATAAAAAATTATACTTGTTTAGCCTCACCACCTCCACCTGAATTTTCAAGCAAAAATAAACAATTTAAAGAGTCTGGAATTCTTTCTTTATTAAAAAAAATAGTAATATTTCTATGCTAATCAAAATCAATTTAAGTGAGGTAAAACAATTTTATCAACCAGGTGTAATATTGTAGGCCTATTGAAAATAATAAATTTTAACACTTATTTCGTTTTCTCAATGCAATATTTTTGGAACAACTTCTTTGTTTCGATTTACTTTGTTAATGATGTTGAAAAGTACAAATATTATACGATCATGCTCCGTGGGTATGAGGGTTGGCAGTTTATGCAACCAAAGTTGTGCCTAGCCATGACACTGTCAAGGTAGCATAAAATCCAACAGGAATTTATGAATACTGATACTGTAAAATGAGTAAACAAAAAAAAAACAACAAAACTCCACCCCTCCCCACCTAAAATTTTGTTGAGATGTGACATGTTAAACAAGTAATTTTTTATTTGGCCTTAACATGTGAATTGAGGCTCAATTCGATGGATGGTCGTCATGCGACTAGATTCTGTATCAGTTCCAAAGGTGCCTGGCTTTAGGATGTGATATGATATGGTAATGGCCATATATGAGCAAAACACAAGATTATATGTGATTGAAAAAAAAACAAAGTATCTTGTATGTCACAAGGGAGATGGACAGTCCACGATTTTGAACCCTGACCTGAAGATTCAAAATCTGTATCGTAACCGTCACACCAACTGCCTCCATATAGGAAGCTTTAAATTTGCGACGACTTTTAATGTAGAATGTAATGATATCAGGTTGTTAAAAAATTTTTCATGATAAAAGATACTGCCTGGTGTAAAATCTAAAAAAAAATGATCTATAAAAAATCCTTTTGAATATTGAAATAAACAGACGGGAAAAATTTTGAACTACAGGCTGCAGCCATTGTACTGTAATCTCATTTTACATATTGGAACATGACGACAATCATCAATACCTTCTTTACAATTTGAAAACCATAATCCCCAACTGGTATCATCCAACTTCTTCATGTTGCTTTATGGAGTGAGAGATTATGATATAGACACTTTACAACATCTCTGTGATTGCAATTACCATTTCATAATTACAATTCTCAACCACAATCAGATTATTAACTATTTTGAGATTCGGAAGCTTTTGCAAAGAAATTAAAACAAAATTGAAAAACACTAGTTCTTTATGCTAACGGATGTAAGACACATAAAAGAGATCAAAAGAAAATTACAAACTTATCTAACTTTATATCTGTGAAATTATCCTCTTAAAGTGGCTCTCATTAGCTAAAAAAATAAATATAAATTTGAAGTCCACAATTACACTAGCTACGTCCAGACTATTAAATCGTATTTAACAAAAACATGTGCTTCTTTGGTCATGATGACATCATTTCATGCCCTATATAAACAAACCATGACTATATATGGGCATACAACAGTTTTTTTGTTGTCAAAGACCATTTGATAGTCAAAGCTTGATTGGCTGAGATATAAGAGTACAGTATATCCACAATAAAAAGTTTACTATTACACTAATAAAATATATATTAAATAATTAAATACACACTTTATCTATGACATCACACATGGAGTATGATATCACTTAATTCACAATGACATCACATATTGACTATGACACCACACCACACATTGACTATATCATATTGATGATTAGATATCCTATGCAATGTATTTATATGTATATGCAATACCTTTTTTAAAATTTTTAATATAATAACTGTATTAATAAGTTATTTGTAGAGTATTTTTTATGTTTTTATAAAATATATATATGCAATATGTTTTTAAAATTTTCAATATCATATTAATAATTAATATTTTTTGCACAGTATTTTTAATATTTTTATATAATGTATTTAAGGCATCCTTGCAATAGGCTTTTTGCTGTTGGATAATAATTTGAAATAAAATAAAATAAAATAAATGACATCACATGAATGAATATGACATCACGTGCATAACTATGACATCACACTATTGACTATTACATTATAACCATGTGTAAATCAAAGGTTTCTATGCACTTGATGACATCACATACACAACTATGACATCATACATGTGGATCTGGACATACTGTATAACAGACACAATTATAAAGCACACATTATAGAACCACACTAAAGCTTTAGAGGTTTCTTTCAAACAATTAAATTTTAAAAAGAAATGCAAACCTTATACATGAGATTATCCACCAGTAAGTCATGCTGCAAAACATAGTTTTTTAGTTGGTCATAGTAAAGCAAATCCTAAAAAGAAAAACACATTTTTTCTCAATTAGTTACATTGATATACATCTAAAAATTATACATAAAAAATGATATTGATTAAAATAGATGTAGAGTTACTCCTTTTACGTTACGCTAGTAAAAGAATAGCTTCCCCGCGGTGCAATTTTTTTTCAGTAGATGAGGGTGATATTGATGAAATAAAACTCGGAATATTGTTAATGAATAATAATTATGGTGTTCATAATTATCAATGATAATAATGATGATGGCGTTAATGATATGACAATGATCTGATGATAAATTTGATAATGATGATAATGATTAAATGATGATCATATTTTTTGATCATTAATATTGATGATAAACCCCTGTCTATTATATTAGAAACCAACAGCCATTATTACTATATAAAATTTGCCACAACATTTTCGAAAATACTGCACCACTGGATCTAAAAAATTTTCTGGGGAATACACACTTCACAACTATATTCCTTATCAGCACTCAACCTTTCCCCATGTATGTGGCAACACCTACGAGAAATATACTGAAAAAACGATGAAAAATGACAAAATTGGCAGAGTGCCTTCTTAAACAACCAATAGAGTTCCTAAGATATTTCCTAATTCCTTAGGAAAAAATGTAGTACAGAGATAAAGCAATATGTCACTCAAAAATCGATACTACTTCAAGGAGAAATTATGACAAGTGGTCTATAGAGGGCTGGTATAGTACCACGGGCCGACAAACTAAACCTTATCTGGCCATTTTGTCGACCACAACTACTCAATTCCAATTCCATGTTATAGTACAAAATTGATGTATTTTCAAACCCTGCATGGAAGAAATTTATCAAAGTACTTTACTTTGAAAATGTGTATTCTCATTTCCTACATTTTCACCCATATGGTTAAACATTATAAAAAAAAGAACCACCTTTTAGTTTTAGATAGTCGTATAGGACTGGAATTATTTTCTTTCTTCTTGCACTTTACTATTAAAAAGCTGAATTAGATTATAATTTCTCACACAACTGTAAAACGTCTGACGTTTTCCCAAAATTCATGTTTCAAAAAAAGATGTATATTTATGATCTGGAAGAAATGTGTGCAGAGTATATTATAAAATTTCACAATAAGATGTGTTTGATAGTTATAAACTGTAAATTTAAAAAAAAACAAAAAAAACATTGTCACAAAAAAAAAAAAAAAGACATTGTCACAAAAAAAAAAATGATAAAGCACCTGTCCAGGCTATCAAAAGCATGTGACATGCCTAAATATGGTCATGATGACATCACATCATGACCATATATAGGCACATGATGACTATATATGGGCATGCAACAGTTTTTTCCAAAGAAAATTTGATACTGTGGACTAATCATACTATGAAAGTTCACTTTCGTTCTGTCTTCATCGCTTTAAAATTCTCCCGGCAAAACATTCCATCCAAAACAATTTTATATATTTTGTCTCAAGGCATTTTACTTTGCTAATAAACTCTCTTATCACATTTTTTTGGGAGTGATTTTTTTCTTTCTGCAACAGTTTAATTTCCTCCAATGTGCCTGTGGCAAATTATCTCAACTGTAATAGGTACTTCATTTATTTTATTGCATTGTTACCTGTATTAATATCAACTATTAACTACTGAACTATGGAATACAGTACGGCATAATTTAACTCTTTGAATTATTATAGAATTAGCTGCACTTAGGAAGGAAAGTATTTCTACGAATGATGATTCTGATAATTTCATCATAAAAACTAATTACCTTTAAAATCGGATAAACAACACTATTCAAATAAAGATAGAATAATACATACTCCTAGTATCGAAATGCACACCATCGTGTCGGGATTCAATATTTCGACATTAATTATGCCATCATTAGGAATGAAAAATTATCCATATTTGCAAGCTTATATGCACAAGTACCAAAAGTGTTTAACCATCAAAATCTTACCCCTAGTAGGTGACATAGCTATGAAACTAAAGATCAAAGCATTCTTACCCTACTGATCAAAGCTACCTACAAAAACAAAGAAAACTCCTTTGAAGCTTTCAACCCATTGTTAAAAGCAATGGGTGTAGCCTACGTGTAGCAAACATTTCTTTAAACAATAGTACAACCAAAACATTCCTATTCAGATTGGACTTTTTTGGTCAAACTAAAGATCTGTCCATAGACTATCACATTTTAAGTGACAAATTTGTGTGATGTGCCCAATATCAACACAATGATGTCACATTACACCCAAATATGGGCATATTTCATGTTTGATTGTCACAGAAAATTTGATAGTGTGGACAGACCTTAAAAATGTACGTCCACACTACCACATTTCAAGTGACAAATTTGTGTGATGTGCCCATAAATGAGCACAATGATGTCACATTACTCCCAAATATGGACATATCATGTATTTGTATTAGTGTGAACACCTTAAAAACATACATGGTCAGTTTGGCAAAAAAAAAAACAGCTGCATGATTATCTGTGGTCAAATTTTCCAAACCACATGGTATGTTCAAATAAGAGTGAATTTTGCATAGAAAGAACAAATAGGTTGTTCATTCTGAACAGAAAAGTGTTGGAAACAGCGTGACTTAGTTAAATTAAAACGCATGCTAATATCATGTACCTTGCTAACTTTTTCAGTATCGAGGTTTAGAATGACCACGCATGCACACAAGCTTACTATCTTAAAAAATATATATTTAAATCCAAGTGCAAACGGCAGTATGATTTGACCATGATAGAGTAACAGCCGTCTCGGTCAAAATCAATCCAATGTGAAAAAGGCCTAATAACACAAGGCCTGCTAATCTGACTGACAGAGCATCTACGTTTATAATAAACATGCAGGCACTAAATCTTTTTAGAGTACTGCATCTTTTTATCTAATTTTGAACATCAGTACGATTTGAGCAAGGGAGAGTTTGTCTTGGTCAAAATTTATCTAAATGCAAACACAGCTTTCCACGGTTTTCCACTAGGTGAATTTATTCGTGCAACACAATATAGTGGGTTTGAAAAACAATTGCGCAAGAGATTCCGTATTTTACACTACATAAGTGAAAAGACTCAATAATTGTTTTCGCGTGTCAACATGGTGACTCATCATTCATCGATTCAATTCTGTGCTCATGGGCGCAATAAAATCTTTTACCTAGACCTGATTGGCTGTGCCTTAATTCGCTTCGCAAAAAGTAGAAACCGTTCGAACTCCAAAAAGCCAAATCAAATAACTACAAGCACAAACGCGAACAGCCTGGTGGAAGGACTCGCACATAAAAAATTAAACTGTGTATGCATACGGACAAGTGTTTTTGATTTGCGCGAATAAATTTACCTAGTGGAAAAACTGGCTTTTAAAGTAACAAATTTATCTTCGGGAGTTTACTGTATATTCACGTAACACCTGAAGTTAGTCTAATGCACTTACTTACTTTAATATGCCAGTGTGCAGTTATTACTTTGGAAGCTGTCTCTGTACTCGGAGATTTAGTGTCTTTACTTGTCAGACCCATAAACCACACAATACTGTAATAAGTGATAACTGATGGATCGAGAAGCAGTGATAAACATCGAAGGCCTAGTAAAATCAAATTTAGTCTCTTATCTTTTCAGCTGCTTCTCTCTCTCTTTTTACCACCTTGATTTTATCACTTTGTTTAAATTTGTTTTCAATATTGAAAATAAAATTAACTTTCAATTTTATTATTTTTTGAGAATTTCAGCAAGAAAAATCTGTCAAACATGCAAAAACAGCCTGTTTTTTGGGGTTTTTTTCACTTCAACACAATCTGTGTAAAAGTTTTTTAAAAAATTGGGTTGACCAAGAAGAATGCTATGCAATGTTTTTAGTTAAACTAAACAGAACATGGTTAATTTATAA